CTCTCGGCTCCGGCGCGCTTCCTCCACAGCTTTCCAGCTGCTTCTCTTTTGCCCCTGTTTTACTCCTCTCTCCGCTGCTACCTAACGTCTCCGATTTTGCGCACCCTCCGACATCCTCACAATTACGCGTTGCGCGTGCCTTGACTAGAGAAACGTATACCACAACTATAACCTTCACTCTCTTGGCTGATGGGAAGCAACATTCGAGCGGTCTCCCTTTAGTCGCGCCTGTTCTTGGCCCTTTCCCCTTGCTTTCTCCGTTATACCACGATTGTAGCCTTGTAGCGCAAATGTATATAGGAAATCTTAAATCAATATTTATTCTTTTGTCTTGCATTTAGAATTTAATAAATATATGCGCGCGAGGCTATTGATAAAAAAAAAAATAAAATTGAAATTATAATGATACACGTAACTTTTTAAAGATATATAAATAAATTTGTCAAATTTTTTTGCAAAATTGCCATTCCCTTGATATTGATGTAAAGTAAGATTGTCAATTTAAAACAAGTAGATCTAATTGTTATATTTTATTGTAAAAAGTAAATAATAAATAATGATATTCTTTACAACAGTTAAATATATATAATAAATTATAAGAATCAATTGTATTCTAAAACTATGTCGATGCATAAATAAGGTTACTAAACACGTGTATTGAAATAACAGATATCAAATACATTTCTGTTTGTTAAATTACCGAATTTGAACCCTCAAAGTTGACTTTTAGCCGACAGAGTCGTAATTAGTGACCTGTTCTACACTCAAGGCATATATGTATAACAATTAAATAGTAAACATGAACCTATCAAAATATCACAATATGCGTATGTTATTCTAAAAAAAAATGTATACATAGTGTGATTCATACGTATTAAAAATAAAATATAAAAGATTTGTCATTTATAAACATTCGCGAACTAAAACTTTGTAAGAAATTACAGAAAGTAAATCTGTGAAATGTACAATCTCTCTTTCTCTTGCGCTCTCTCTCTCTCTCTCTCTCTCACTTTTGTTTGCTTGATATAATGATTTATGTAATGCGTTCCTCCATCTAATGCTAATAATTAGTATGAGTTAAACTTTGTCGTAGCAAGAAGACGGGGAGTCCACGTTGAGCGAAAGAAGTTTTGTAATCACTTAAAGTGCATTCGCGTGCGGCTTGGGAATTCAAGCTGCTAAGACGCAGATGACAATTTTTCAGCGTCTGGTAGGCTACGTGATGTGTAATATTGCAATTGCTCTTCGCCTCAGTGGATTAAATCTACACACGTGATTCTTAACAATTTGATGGCAGTAATAAAAAGCATTGCAATTGCATTTGTTAATATTACAATTATTTTTTAATGTAAATAGTATATTAAGAAACGATATCAATGTTAAAAAATTAAAAAAAAAAAAGTTTCCACACATTAATATGTTTAAAAGCAATTCTAACTCAATTTTACATTTATTTAATATTTTATTTATAATTATGAAACAAAAGAACGAATTGTTTTAATTGATCCTGTAAGTTTGCATTAAACAATATCCCACAATATAAACTACGTTTATTTTTTAAATAACAGTAGTATAAATAAAAAATGTTTTCATTTAAAAATTTCTCACGTTAAAACAATGATTTTGAAGAATAAATTATTCATTCCACTGTGTTCGTTCAACTTTACTTGAACTTTAATTTATTTAAATTAAATTGAGAGGTTGAAGACGAGCCAGAGTTATTCATTATTACAGATCTGATAAATTCACTATTTGAATTTTATAGCCCTTTTTGTAGTAAAATTGTTCTTCGTTCGTGTAAACATATTGCAATTACTAATTATACTACCGTATATCAGCTGTTATGCGTATTCATATGAATAATATCATAGTTGTACGGCATATTATAGATAGGTTAAATTCAGATGCTAAAAATGTGCAAATATGTGCATAAGCATGGTTTAGCATTATTACATAACTATACGCTGCTACTTAGATATTCATACGACAGTTTGAATAGAAATAACGATGCAGTTTCTTCAATAATTAAATAGAATATTATTCGATAATTTGCTCTGTACATGTAAGCTATATTTCGACGCGTATAATGTCGCTACCTTTGAACAGTTGTATGCTAAAGCAGTATGAATAACCAATCTAATATCAATATTGGTTGAATACGGAATCGATCGTGGAACCTAACGTTTTGTTGATATATTAATATTGTACCCGCGAGTTTCTTCAAGTTCATTCTACTAATATTTTTCGCAAGTAAATTTCACGAAGAGACATAAAAGATTAATCTTTCGGTGAATCATATTTATTCTTTTGTATATATAGCATCTATAAGAATCAACAATTATTTCAAAGTGATGAAGTATAAATTGCAATTTAATAAGTTACTTAATATAAATGACCGTTTGTGTGTTTGTTTTTAATAATCAGTATTCAAAATATCTTTTAATATTTTTGCAAAATATTTCCCGTTCGCTTGCTTGCTAATTTTTACGAATACGTAATAATTATTGTATATAAGTTTCAATTTTTATCAATTTTCTGTACCCGACCATTTTAAGTAAACACAATTCCTTTCTATATCGTAAATCGTAAATGGTGTTCGTATGATGGCTATAAGTATTCTGCCTTTTTATTTGATTTTACTACCAAATATGAGAAAATGCACTTTGGAGACGGCGGCTAGCGAATACATATCATTCTCTTGGAGCACGTATTTTTAGTCGTAGAAGTCATAGACCAGAGATCATAGCGGAAATCCCGATGGCACACCATAATGTATCATACCGATGATCCGATCGTGAGTTACGGAGTTTTGAAGTACAAGAGTGGATTTACGATGGTGCGTGAAAGTTAGCCGCTGATCTGGCTCCAAGTGGCTGAATTCACTCTTGCACTTCGAAACCCCATAACTTACGAATGGAGACGTCAGGACGTTATGGAATAACGCAACGATTCTATTCGTCCCACAATTTTTGTATCTCTGTAAATGGACGACTACCACGTCCACATTGAAAGAATATTTTCATCTAACTCAATTTTCTTTTTGTATATTTTGGAACAATATGAAAACATTATTTAATAGATTTTTTTAATGGACAATGATTTGATTTTTATCTACCACATCTTTCGATGGTTTTCTATGTTTAACGACGACAAAGCATTTATAAAGTATGATATTAATTAAAATTATAATAGTGCGAAGTTTGTTTCAAAAGTTATTTTTCATATTCGATATGTTTAAAGTTTTCATCTTATTGTTAGATATTATTGGTCGTTATTTTAATATTGTCTCTAAAAAATGTATCAGCTCAGAATAAATTGCCACAATAATTTATGTAATTATCTTCTTCTAACTAATCGGATCTATTTTGTAAAATACTTATACGAAACTTACAAATTTATAGAAATTATAGTATATCTAATAAATAAATCTATAATAAAAATATATAATAAAAAATTTATTATAATATAATAAATTATAAAAATTAAACTTTGTTTCAGAATCGGTAACTTTAGTGACATCTATTTATTTACATTTATATTATATTATTTCTTTATTATTTTTCCTTAAATACGTTTATCTGTCGAATTAAACATTAATATTAAGTTAATTTTAAAAATATAAAATATTAAAAAATATTGACATTTTAACGAAATTGCGTTTTAAAAACAAGTTTATTAAATTTGGTGAATAAAATTTATTAAACTATCAATAAAAGTAAAATGTAATCTACTTAATATCAACATAATATAAATTTCAGCATAGAGAATTTAAACTTTTAATAAAAAGATTAAAACATAGTCTATAAAATAGCACATATATTTAAAGTGTTAAAACATATATTTATATCACAAAATAAATTTCCCATTATAAACATTCAACGCTAATTGCAAACATATAAATCTGTAACCAACATTGATACATCAACATGACACTGTTTGCTAAAGAAATAAAAATTAAAAAAAATAGATATTTGACATAGCATCGAGTTATAAATCAATTTAATTAAAAATCGATAAACTAAAAAAAACATTGACCGTTAGTCGAAATATATATATCCAAAATTTAATATGCCATGGTATAGAATGTGGTAGCATGTATTTGAAATACTTTTATTTGAAAAAAATATTTATAAGAAAATTGTATTTCATTTATATATTAAAACAAAATGTTTATATATCTGTGAATTTAAATCTTCAAGCAATTTATTTATATGTATTTAATATTTTCTTGTATAATAAAGTATTAAAATGTCTAAATATCGGATCAATAAAAGTATCAATATTAATTTGATGAACTTTACTTAAATGTATATTGTGCGTTTTGCACAATTAAACGAACTAAATGAATTATGAACTTATTAAATAAACGATAAGTTGATGAATTATTAAAGTTCATTTCGAGTTCATTTATTTTTTATAAAAATTTTCTTAAAAATTTCCGTAGAAAACCGTTCATCCTCATGTACGCCATATTCGTATCATAATTATGTGAAATCGCGTATCGTACGGCACCCTGCCTCGTCACAAGAATAGACTGTTAATACGACAAAGGAACAAATGATAAACGAACAGCAAATTATTTACCCCACGGTTGCTCCGCCGTTGCCCGATGCTTCTCCGTGTCGCCTCCGACGTTTCTCTCCCGGCTCTTTCGTGGCACTCACACAACACTCGCGACAGGACGAGTTAATTACGAGCGTACGCGCAGTGATCACCGGAGTACGAGAGAATCGCGCGGCATTCTCGACATTAACCACATCCGACGCACTGATCCGACGCTTTACCGTGCTTTACCGCGCTGCACGACGGGGAAGGTGAACGCGAAAGAATCACGGATTGTGCCACACGCTCCGCTCGACACCCGCGACGTCGCACGTAAGTTTAGTGTAATGTAACCGGACGAATCTCGAACAACCGGCAACAGTGTGGGCGAATTCGAGAAGAGCACGCAGCCAACTTCACGCGCCACGCGTCGCGCGAGCGAGGTGACGGTTACGGTTTACGTTTGTCGCTCCAAGTGTTCCAGTTCCAACGACAGAGCCCCACGCTCACGTTTCGGACTCGTGTTGCCGAGCGTTTCTATTATCCCGCATTATACGACAGCGAGGAGCGAGAGGACAAACATGGGGGTGAGTTGAAATTAAAGATAATTATTCACCAGATGTACAACGGTCGTAATGCGGCGTTTGCCGCTTCTATGGGCTCTGGGGCTACTCGACGAGAGTTTCCGACCGAATGAATCGCGCTAGATGCGCACTTTAACAAATTACCAGCGTACAAACGTCGAATTTACGCTACGCGGTTGACGGCTGTTAAAACGTGGGGTTAATTACGATTGTATACCCCCGCTGGTTAAATGCGCGTCGCGATGCCTGCCTCGGCTCGGAATCGATTCCTGCTTATCCGCGGCGGAGTTTTCGTTAACGACCGAAAAAAAGAGGTGAAAACGACGGCCGACTTCACTCCGATACCCGCGCGCGACGCGACGTGAATCAAGTTACTTAACTCAGACGCGTGTATATATATATGTATGTATATCGTTTGAGAATATAGAAACGGCATCCCGGACGTTGCGCGCATATTTATTTTCGACATAAATCCTGCGAAACGCGTATATTATTTACGAACGATCGGTAGGTACGTCACGATTTACTATTTGATTACTCGGGTTATCTGATCCACGTATTCCATCCTTGTTTAACATTGGATGAATATCAATACAATAAAGATAAATAATGCTCGCTTTGCCGCTGTTATAAGATTGTTTAATATTATTTTGTGGTTTATACATTTCGATCGAGAGAGGAATTAAGGGCAGATAATATTGAAGAATTATTATATTAATAATTATATTAAATTAAATTAAATTAATATCCGCTCAAATAAATTTTTCAAGTTAAACGTAATAAACCTTCCAAGTCAAGAACTAATTGAGCCATACTAGTTGTTAGATATATATATATATATATAAATCTGTTATAATAATAACACCGGTATACGGAAAAGTTTCGACTTTACAAAGTCCTCAACAGCCGCAACCAAATTGTCACCACTTCTAATAAATTAATTTAGTATACCGATGTTATTATTATAATAGATTTATATATATATCTAACAACTAGTATGGCTCAATTTGTTCTTGAGGTTTATAACGTTAAATTATGTTAAATTATATATTAAAGTATAATTATATTAATAATCAATATATAAACCTACGTAATCAAAAATTATACATCGATATAAAGGCAAATAGAGTCACAATGTTAGGTATAATTTAATAAAACTTATTTAATCTCTCTCTAATTCGTGATCCATACGATTAAGAGGAATTCCGGACGTTTCGACAATAGTTTTTTAAATTCTAACTAACATTGTGACTCTCTATTTGCCTTTCTATAGATAATTTTTGATTACATAGGTTTATATTTATATTGATTATTAATTGTGAGAATCGTTATCTTGATATTGCTTTAACATTTAAGGTTTTAAAATTGTTATTATAATTATATTAAAGAATTTTTTACAACAATTGCAAAGCTACCATTTTTGCTAAACGCAATCATTGCGAAACCTACCATGGCTGCATTTCCAATATGTGCAACACTTTTAAAATCATTCATTTCATTCTTAGTCGGAGCACTATTAGTTAGAGCGAAAGGCAACAAGTATTTCGGTTTTCCGATTACCATCTCGTTTGCCCGATAATCTTAAGTTGGAGCAATTCTGTAATTGTTAAGGAATAGTCATGTTCGTGTTCTGTCATTCAAATTAACTTTCCTATTCTTTGCTCCCGGTATTTTCAGCCAGAATCTTAAGTAACGGTTTCCGGATTAAATTTGTGACAAAATATCATTTATTAACTGTCATATCTTACAGTACTAGTTAGCGAACACGATCCAGTTGTTGGACAGAATATAACAAAAATTTGTAATATTAACCGTTTAATGAAACGTATACCTACTATTCTAAATAAATTCGTCCTGTCAAATTTTTATAAATTTATTTAGAGTCCCATATATCATTAAAAGCTTAATATTTTACCATTTTTATCATTTTGTCCACTAATTGATACATTTACTTTATATACCTATACGGGTATTGAAAAGAGAACTAAAGATGCCGAATACAAAGTACAAGCAACACGAGTAGATCTAATATTCGTGAGCTTTGTAAGCGCCAAGTGAAACGCACTCTGTTTGATGCGAGAAATGATCGCGCTCCTTCCGTTCCGGCCACTTCCGGCTTCCTTCCGTCGCGGTTACGCGAAAGATAATGAGACGACGCACGTCTCCGTGCCACTATACGTCCCTCTCCACCCCACTGCTAAGATTAAACGCGCTGACCTTGTGTGTACAAACAGCACGCCCGCCGCCGCACCAGCGGTCGTATTTATTTACGTCACGCCGCGAAGCGTCGTGTCAGCCAAAATTATCGCTACGAGATATTTATCTGCGTATAGCAAAATAGATGTACACCGTTCTCCGCGCCGCAAAGTTGATGGTACTGTTACCGTACGCCGCGCCGCGGCCGTTGATTACGCTTTGTTTTGTGAACTCGTTCGTGCTATCGTATACGAGCTAATGATTTCGTTCTGTTCTGCTGAGAAAATTCGAAGAAATACAACAGAAATATTTTATGAAAATCCTAATTTAATAATGTAATTTGATTTTTATGTTATAAATATAACTAACAGGATATATATATATATATATATATATATGTGTTATTGAAGATGATATATAAATACATATTATTAATTTTAATTATATATTAAGCTCATTTTGAACAGTTCATTTTCGTTTAATATTTTAGAACAGAATTATATTTGTAATTTTATGTGCCGTGTATTTTAATACGTATATGTTTTAATATATATATACATTTTTTTTATGTGTATATATAATATTCCGATCTCTCTTAAAATCTTGTTTATTATTACGTGAAAAATATAAATAAATTTCTATTCCGAATTCTGACATAAATTATAAATAATAATTGAGCTTAATGTATTATTATTTAATTGAAAATAAAAATGATTAATATGATTGAAAATGAAAATGATGAAATATCCTCTTTTAAAAGTTCTCCAGCAGATATCTATTGAAGAATAAAATCTATTTTGATCGAATACATATTTATATAAATTAATTAATTACTATTTTTATATTAAATTTTTATTTATATAACTTTTTTATATTATATTTTTAGTTAGTATAATTGAGTATTTGTTATCGAGAAAAAAACAGATTAAATTGTCATAAAACACAATCGCGGTTTAATCGCATTTTTTCAATTTAAAATTACACATTTTTTGCTTTAGGATGGAAAAATGATAATAGTAAAAATAAACTTTTGACACACATATAGTTACATCAGATATTTTTTGATCGAAATGAAAATCAACTTTATTCCTCATATGAATATTGGATTTTTCATGTTTGTTGATAAGTATATGTATCTATTTATTTTTATATACATGTACTTAAATATATAATTGATATGATTATATATATCAACATTTAAAATGTCTGTATTACTACTACTTATTCGTATTTATAACCGCATTTCTATTAAAAAATTTAACTGCAACTGTTCTTTCGAAGTGTGACAATTCAATAAGAGAATCTTGATATTCAATTATTGATACATTCACACACATGCAGTTAAAAAAAATATATATTTTGAACAAATGTATGTTACTAGTTTCACTCATCACAAAAAGAGAGCAGCGCAAGAAAATTATCGTGTAATATTATCATTTAGAGTATAAAAGGAAGCAGAGTGTTCTATACATAATTCGTAATATAAAACTTTAAAAATATATTCTTAAACTTCAAATCGAATTTTTCATAAAAATGTTTGTTCTATTTCCCGGAATAGCCGTGAATTATCTATTCTTTTTAAATGTAGGGAATTTCTTTTCAACTCATACTTTCGGATTTTAATGATATTATTTTTTACTAACTGATGAAAAATTCAGAATCTATAATATTAACACATAACGTATGTCTACGAAAATCGATTATTGATTCGCGAGAAATAGAACTTGGGTCGTGTGTCAGAATAAACTTCTCTGATTAAAAAAATCCCCTCATATTATAAATTTAAGTTACAAATATCGAACTGATTAATTTCATTACGATGACACACAATCTTATGTTTTCTCTTCTTACTACATCTTCGTCTTTCTACGACATCGAGGGTTATATTGCCGATATCGCCAGTGATCGTTTATTTGTTTTCATACTTTTTCGTTTGCTCTCTTTAAATGCAATAATATTTTCGAATAACAACATGCTCCCGCTGGTGAGTGGACAAACACACTTTGTCGCGGCGCATTCCATTTTTTCCGTTTTCCTTCGTAAAGTGAACGAGGCGTAATGCGAGATCGTCGGACTACGTGACGATTAAACCGCAACTCGGTGGCCGTTGCCAGCGAGTGGTTCGAACGGCCGTCCATATTTCGGCGTCGAAACGTCGAAGGGGATTCACGACCGACGTGGGTCCGCCAGGACAACGTGAATTAAAGCGGCGAGCTAAATGGCCATATCGGAAGAAGCGCAGCGCGATGTGTTTTCTCGAATAAAAAAGGATATTTCAGCCCAAGCACTTAGCGAATGATTTTTAAATTGAATCACGTCTCTCACCCTGCGTTTCCACTGGCGGGCACTGCGGAACCGAGGGAACGCTCGAACTCCGCTAGAAAGAACGTGTTGACAAGCGGAGGGCGGCGAGGGCGGCGCGCAATGCTTCTCGCTAGCGCGATGTCTTTCTGGCTGACAAGAAGCAGCATCCGGTTCTCTGTCGTTATGATCTAGCTGTGGCACTAGGTTGTTTGATGAAAATGCGAGGCGCTACGCGGTTGAAATATTATATCTGTCGTATACGTACGTTTTAAAACATTGTATATATGATTTCTGGTAACAATGTATGTATAGTAATGGACAACTTTTACACAACAGGATTATAAACAGAGTGAAGTAAAAAGAAATATAATTTCGATATTTTATATGTATAATATTTAATGTTTCCTCCAATAATAAGTAAATATTTTAATAACTTATATAAAATTGTAAAAATACAGAAAATTAACATAAACGACTTGATATTAGAATAGACTTATAATACT